CGACCAACTTGGAGAACAACCTTGTCACAGGGTCACAGCTACTCTCACTCGCCAACGTACTTGCCGACGTACTCCGTACATCAGGCGCAGCAGCACTCCAACAACCGCGGGCTAGATCAATCGCCAACAAGCCACACCCACACACACACACACGCATCACACCACCCACACCCGACGAGCAGCCCGACTGCGTCGAGTTACAAGACGTAGACTACTACATCGCCGACTTGCCCATTACTTCGACAGGTACAGCAAGAGAGCCACCACCACGAGCAACACAACAACACCCACAAACGACAAGCTCCTATAGCCAACGCCTGGCAATCCAGCCTGGCCAGAAATCATCAGAGGGCTTACACCCATACCAACAATCAACCTACATCCAAACCGACGCATGCGACACGTGACCAGGAACAGCGACCCATTCAAGGCTACCCCTACTACGCACATACCACATCCGCGCGGCGAGATCTTTGTCTACAGGCCAACCGCACCAAAACTCGACTTCAGACGCAAGAGAGATCACCAACAAACAAGACCACCACCACCTGCCCATGCACCTACGCCACGACCCCAAACCAAGTTGCCAACAATCGCCGCAGCTCCAACTCAAACACGACAGCCGACCACCATCCACAACCCTTGGGGTGACGATGGCAACGACGCAATACTACCTAGAGCAGCAGGCGACTCCAAAGAAGAGGGCAGCTACACCGACAACAGCGACGACTACAGGTACACTCCTACGCCTTGCATTTTCACATCACGACAACCACACGAAAGCCACGACATGCACTGCACTTCAGGCTGGACAGCATATAGTGCCAAAGACAGAAGTGACGAAGACGACCATAACAAGGACAGCTGGCACTACGCCGTCTAGAACATTGCAGCAGACAACACCTACACCTACCGCGTTCCAAACGACGACCTGCTGCTGCCAATATGGCACACATACTTCGACAAATACAGACACTAGTGCTTCTCCAGCAATTGCCTGCAACAACCCCTACCTCACCCATCATTTAGGCCCGATCCACATGCGACACCAATTTCCTCATTCAGGATGCCACCGGCCGAATCAGACCAAGTGTATAAAGCTTAGCGACGCAATGCCGGCAGTCTGACACCTGTCAATATGGCAACCACGCTTACTCAACCGACCCCGATCACCGCAGACTACGACCTACCCAACGAAAACTTCAGAGTAGCAGCCAACATCACCAACAGACACCTCACCTCCCTAATACGAGCACCGACTACAAGAATGAGCGACATCGCCGCCAAGCAGGCCATATTCACGGTTTCACAACAACTGTGCCCTTGTCACGACGACGAACACACCATGAGGTACAATTGGGCCGTACGTGATCATGCCACGGCTCAAATGTTACAAACATGTGCAACCAAACCAACGTAAGACGACGACCACAACATTCCACCAACACCATCACCCCACATGCCCTGTTTGCAGCTACTCTGTCAAAAAGCAAGACGACTAGAGTTTACCAGCCATTTTGGCACGTCGGTATAAGGCACATCTACCAAGCGAGTCCCACTGTGGACTACCGACAACGCAAACTCTTATAACAGCAACCGGCTTGCTAAATTCCAACGCTTCAGTATCCGGCCACCGTCATATTCGTACGTTTAGCATGCACAGACGGCTTCCGGAGTTGCCTTAATCTTCTCACGCGTAGCTTCGCATTGGCATTCAAACTGTACTTCGCCTGTGCCGCCAGATATCCCGCGTAAGCTACACAGGCCAGCCAAGATTTCTACTGCTCAGGAGTGTGAAGAATGGAGGGCTGCGTTGTACTCAGGTGGAGGAGGTGAGGGAGGTTCTCTCGCCTCGGTGTAAATATCTCACCAGTTTGCTGCACTCTCTGACACATGCACAGGACACCCAGGCGTGCCAGCCTGCTGCGCGCACTGATACGGCCAGGCAGAGCCGGCCCAGCAGCGTGACAAGGCTCTTACGCAGTGAAAGCACAAGCCTCCAGATCAATAGTGCATTTCTGGGCCCCCTTTTACACGGTGTGGCCCCGCAGTTCAGACTGCTAGCACCCCTCTAACACTCTTACCGTCAGCTTGCAGCACTGTCTCTGGGGTCGGGGTGGTTACGAGTATGGGAGGGGAGAATCATCACACCGCACTCGCAGCTGCCACTACTTGCCAGCTCCCCCCCAGGCAGTCTAACACGTCTTTTCCTTTCAGTCGCTTGCACTTATCGTTCAGGTCCCCCTGGACACAAGGTGTGGCTCCTCATGTAACCGATACAGTTAGCAGCCTACGGTCTGCCACTCTCTCATCAGAGCTTGCACGCATACCTCCAGGCATCCAGCTACTGCCATCTTCGTACATTTCAGTCTTCAGTCACGACATCTGTTTTATTGCTACTCTCGCCCTTTCTGCCAACTACTTGCCATAGCTCGCATACAGGCAAGCCAGTACTGTACCAGCGTCCGCAGGTACCAGTCAGCTGTTACGACGGGCGTGTGCTTAATCTGGAAAATCATAAAAAGCACGGGGGTCCTGGGACCATAGAAGTTCAGGGTGAACCGAAAAAAACCTGGGCGGCAACCCAAGAACTGCTGCCTAACATGCATTCTCTTTTTACAGCTTTAGGCCGCCTTCGCGCGGCCACACTAGTGCAGCAGGTTGCAGTAGGTTGCAGCCACCGCACAGGCCAGCCTTCTAATGTGCCTGCCTTACTGATTACTTCCTCCTTCCACCTCTGACTTGTGCACCTACCTTGGTTCCGCAAGGTCTAGCTTTACGACGGGTAGTGGGCTGTGAGGTAGGGAGTAAGAGGATGGGGTGAGTCGGAGCGTTGCGGGGAAGCAAGCAACAGGGCGCGCCAGTGTGCACCGCCCGCTGCATCACCGCCAAGAGGCGGCACCGCCAAGAGGCGGCACGATCACCCTATAAGCACCGTTAGCATGTCTTTCGCCAGCCAACCTTTACACTTCGTGCCACAAGCCTCCTGTTCCCACTCTCTAGAGACACCTGTCTCTTTGCCACATGACTTGACCTACAGCGTGGGTACGGAGAGTCTGGATAGACTCGTGCCCCTAGGCCGACCTGACATGCAGTGTCAGCCTATGCAGTCCTTTCCTTGTGGGAAGTGGCGGGGAGGCGTCATATCTCGACGGGGAGGGGTACAGTACTCACACAAGTTTGGCGCGTGACCACCTGCAGCTGTAGTTGTTTTCTCGCTCGGTGGTTTCCCTGCTCATGATATGAGTTCAGGTTCATGGTTCAGTCCGTCCCATATCCACCATGCGGCCTGGCGGGCGCATACTCTATGGCCTTAGGGCCCCGTACTCTTTCCGCGTCTCGCTGTCTTACCTTTTCCAGCTTCGCCCGCAAGGCCTGATTCGTTTGCTCCTTGCCTAAGTCGGCAGTATGCAATTGGTTTCGCATTCACGCTCCATGCTGCTGCATAAAGCCCGCGCAACATCAAACAAGGGGGGGAAGGGAAGGAGCAGGAGCGAGGAGAGAGGAGAGAGGAGAGAGGAGGGAGGAGGAGGTGGAGGAGGAGGAGGAGGAGGAGGAGGAGGAGGAGGAGGAGGAGGAGGGGGGGGAGGAGGAGGAGGAGGAGGAGGAGGAGGAGGAGGAGGAGAGGGAGGAGGAGGAGGAGGAGGAGGAGGAGGAGGAGAAGGAAGCGAGGAGAAGGAGGAGGAGAAGAGGACGAGGGCTCATGGTGAGGAGGGAGGAAGATGAGGAGGAGGAGACGAGGAGGAAGAACAGGATGAGGGGGAAGGAGGAACGAGAGGAAGGGCAGGAAGAGGGGGAGGGGAAAGGAGGAGTGTCAGGGCACTGCGTGCCAGTCTTTTGAAATGACGGGGGCGGGATTTCGAGCGACCCGTCCCGTTCCGACTCAGGACCCTCAGGAGCATCGAGGCTGGATCAGGTACCACTCGTGGCCTAGTCCTCTCTTTGGTGGAAGAGCAGCCCGCTGAACAACTTTCGAGGGATATCCGTTCTGCCAATCGCGGGAGAGCGAGCGGTCTCCGTGCGATCGGCGAGTTCGCCCTCTCAGGCGACCAGGCGTTGACCCAGTCCGCCTGCGCGGTGCCGCTCGGTTCGCGCGCGCATCGGCCCCTGGAACTTGTGGGGCTGTCGCGCGCGCCGCGCGCCCGCACGGAGACCGCTCTCTCGCGCGCGATCGGGAGAATGCCTCTCTTACGCATTCTCCCCCTCGCTTCGCTCCTGCGGTCTCTGCAGCTTCTCGGACATTGCTCCTCACCGTCACCATCATCCCCATCATCGTTGGTGCCATCATGATCATCGCCGTCGTCGTCATCGCAATCGTCATCGCCGCGGTCATCAGCACGATGCGTCATTACCATCGTGATAAGTCGTCGCCGTCGTCGGTGTCGTCAACGTCGCCGTCGTCGACACCGCTCAGTGCCGTCGCGAAAGCTGCCTGTGTGGGGCGGGCAGATTGGGCCAAGCAGGCCGATCCCCCTCACAGTGATCCGTACGATGTGAGAGACGATTAGCGGGCATATAACAACAGAACACGCATTTTCCGAGATCTGGAGCGCAGGGCAGCTGGAGAGTTTACACCCCCTCCTGCCACCGTAGGGATATAGACGTCCCAACCGCCACGGGACACGCGCCCCCAGTGGAGGAGAGGCTTCTGTCTTACCGCCCTCCGCCCGCCAAAACGCTCTCCTCCCTCCAGGCAAGAGGCAAGACCCCGCCGTCGCAACTCAGCCACAGGAGAAGGGCACACAAACACGGTCGCCCTCGCCGCCTGGGGCCCCCGGCGGCCGCTCTGGACGGCCCCCTGGGCACCCCTTTCGGAGCGCTGTCGGCGAGGCGCAGCCGCCGGCAGGCGGCACGGGGCGAGAAGGCCTCCAGAGCAGCCCGGCGGAGACCCGAGAAGGCCATCGGCGGCGGCAGGCAGCCCCGGTCGGGGAGACCCGCCGAAGCAGCCGGCCGGAACCTGCGAAGGCCGGCGGCGGCTCGCCCCGCCCCAACCCTCCCACCAGGATCGCAGATGCGCGGCTCATCGGCCATCGGGCCGCACCCCGCGAGCGGCGCGGATTCGCCCGCCCGCGGGGGGGGCGGGGTGCGCGGCCCCGCTTCTCTGGTGGAAGGGGTACGGGGAGGGGGGGGGAGGGAAGGGGGAGGGAGCGAGGGGGGGAGGGGGGAGGAAGGGGGAGCAGGGGGGGAAGGGAGACGAAGGAGAGGAGGCAGGGAGAGGAGGGACTCCCCCTCTGACCGACACAGTCGTTGGGAGGAAAAAAACCTTCGTCGAAGCTGCTCAGCTCGACTATATAAGCTGTCTCGGCCACAAGCCCGCCGCCAACATATCGAGGTAATCCCCGCGATGGGGTCTCAGAACTCTATCACACGGGGCCCCTCGCCCGAGGATCTGCCTTTGGGCATAAGTAACACCCGAAGGTCATGCAAAACCAATCCTCCACTAACAAACTCAACATCACATGATGAGAGCTGGCAACCCACCCCCCGAGATGTCTGACCCCCCCACTTCACAGGGAGAAACGCGTGGTCACGATGCGCTGGCACAGGCGAGAAGTGGGACGACGAACACCTTGAGGCTGCTTCCTTCTGTGAAGGTCGTCCCAAAGCATCGACGACACGGCGTAGGAGGGAGAGGTAGGGGGGCCAGCGAGGGGGGAGGGGAGGGGGGTAGGGGAAGGGCACCAGCAGCGACAACGGGAGCGGGATCGGGAGAAAGAGGCAATGTGGGGGAGGAGCATGGGGGAGGGTGGGTAGAGGAGACGAGAAGGAAGGATGATCCAGCAAGAGGACACTGGGGGGAGGTCGGAGTGAGGGGGGTGGAGGGGGGGGAGGATTTGTGTGACTGTCGCCTGGAGGAAAATCCGAGCCGCTGACGTTGCGTCGGCCAGCAGATGACCCCCCACCCATCCAGAGGGAGAGGGACGAGGAGCAAGGGAGGAGCGGACGAGGGGGAGGGCGACGACAACGACGCAGAAAATTGAAGGAAAAGCAGGGTCGGACCAGGAGGAGGGGACGAGGCCGGGTGGACGGACGCGTACGGGGAATTCTGAAGGATTATCGCACGAGCAAGAGCGGGAGCAACAGCAGAGAGAGACGGAGCAGGAGCAAGCGGAGGAACGGGGGGGCAGGAAAAAGACAGCGAGGCGGGAGGGGGAAGTAGGACGGATGAGGACGAGGGGGCGAGGGGAAGGGAGGGGGGGAAGGGAGACGGGGACAGGTGGACCAGAAAGCATGGAAGGAAAGGGTGAGCAGGGAGGGGAGGGAAACGCAAGGAACAGGAGGCGCTGGGCTGTGGCCACAGACACTTCGCCGCATCCCCGCCCATCCCCGGCAACGGTCCGGCATGGTTCCATGTCGTCGGCTGCGGGTGGCCGCGAAAAGAGGCCCCACCGGACTCCATCAAAAACACCAGACATTGCATGCTCCGGGATTCCCGAACGCCTCGGCACGATGCGGCCCCAGGACGGTTTCAGACGGGTCTGCGGCCCGATTAAACCCAAAGCGAGCGATCGAGATGGCCCCAGGATGGCCTCCAAGATCGCGCCAAACAGCCCAAGATAGCTCAAGCTAGACTCCAACGCGCCTCCAAAAGGCGCCATGAGGCTGAAAACCCTTCCAACACCTCCTGACAATGAATGCTGTTCGCTTTTGCACGAGACCCCTCTCCCGTCCCGGCAACAGGGAGGAGGATGAAGGCCGTTATCTTCTTAACGAACAAGAAGTTGCTTGCTTCCAACTCCTCCGATGGATCGTATTGCGTGTGCAATCAGAAATTAGAATATATTACAAAGATTCACGTGAATACAAATACTTACTTCCCAGCACCTCTCGTCGGGCGCTACGAAGCGACCCAGCCAGCCAACAAGCAAGCGCAGACAAGGACACTCTACGCGGAACCCCAAGCACACTCGCGCGTCCACGCGTGGGCCCAATCGCTGTGCAAAGTGCGGGTATAATATAAACTCTCTTGCTGTTGAGTCTGCCTTCTGCCTTGACAGTGTAGTGGTCTTCCTGTGACCATCTTCTTGACCGCGCTGTGGATCAAGTAAGGGCTGTCGCATAGTCCAAGCACTCACCTCTCGCCGTCTCACTCCACTCCCGATTTGCCTCCTCACTAATCCCGCCGATCACGCTCATTACTGGCACTGGCCCACGCGAGGTGGCTTCCACGCGTAGCCCCTGTCTCCTTCGCTTGCTTCTCGTTTATGATATATCCTTTGACCAATAGCCTGCTCACACCAAGTCATCCTTGACCCCTGTCACTAGTAGGCAATTAGCTCGACGACACACCTACATGTCCACCACGCGACACATCATGAGATGCTTGCACCTTGAACCCCAGTCCATCTGACGTGGCACTTGGTCGCACCCAGCTGCGTCGACTCCATCGGCCTCCTTGAGCATGCGGGTGGCAACAGGCGCCAGGCTGTCCGCAACCCGCTGTAGGACGTTACAGAAGTATGAATGTCAACACCACGAGCACAACCGTCACCATCTTCAGGATGTACCACGCCACTTCATCATCGCGGCTGGAAGGTGCAGGGCAAGCCGCTGCATTCCAATTATCCTCATACACTTCCGCGCTCGTAGTAGCCGGAGCCAGTGCCACACGTCTGGCAGCAAATCCAAGGCTGGGCTCTAGCCCTGTAACCTGAGGTTGAGAATTGTCGGATGCTTCGCGGTGTTTGGCCATTCGCTGCACTCCATGAGAATATCCGCGGTCGCCTCATCCGCGTGCTCATTGAAGAGCTCGGAGGCCACCGATCGTACTCGATCCTGAGACCACGAAACCTCAGCTCTGCATGCCACGCGCCACCCACGCCACTTCTCTGGCTACCAACTGCGTCGCCCCTGTAGATCGCCAAATAGCTGGGCCTCTAGAGACTCGACGACGCAGGTCGGGAGCATTGCAAATCGCACACATCCCAGACCCTCCCGAACTCAAAGAAAACGCACTCTGGGACACTGAAAAGCAGATCCACGCATGATGACCATAACAGACTGCTACCCCGCTAGTTGGGCCCCAGTCTCCATCACCGTCAACTCGAATCGCCACGACGCCCGCTGTAGTGGAGAGCACCATACAAAGACAGGTTCACCTTCATAGCGTCGCCCCAGCCCTGCGCACCCAAGCATGCATCAGCACGGCGGGGTTCGAAACGCCCTGCATGGCTGTCTCAACGGCGCGCGTCGCGTCGGGCCTGTCCGAGGACAGGCATTGGCGGCCCGCGCGAGGGGCTGGGGGAGAGGGGAAGGCTTCTTAGGAGGAGGCTGCCCCTTGAAAGGGCCCGACCACCCTTCTGGGAAGCCCAGGGCGCGCCGCGCCTCACAAGCACCCAAACTGCTTCTTAGGAGCACAAAACAGCCTCTTCGAAGCAAACGCATCTTCTCAGAAGCAAGCCGCCCGCTGTTTAGAAGCACGCCAGCGGCGGCTTCTCAAGAGCAACCGTCAACCTTATAGAAGGGCCGCCTGCGCCTTCTCAGAGGGGACGCGCTTCTACGAGGCCGCCCCCTTACTGCCCTCCCCCGCTGCGCGCGGCTGCTGAGGGGCAAATGAAATAAGAGAACAACGTCACCTCTCAGAACTTGCGGAGTACGAATACCTGTTCAATCCCATCGCTGGTAGCAGACCGATCTGGGGCGTCTCGATATTCTGGGCTAGCGCTCCTGACTACTTTCTGTCGAGTGGTGTGCATCTCAGCTCCACGGCAAGCCTACAGCTCGAGTCAAGTAGAGAAAACCCACATCGCCTCTCAAAAAGTTGCAGAGTGCGAATAGTTTTTCGGTCGCAGATCTGGTAGCAGACTCATTTGAGGTGTGTCGATACTTCAGACTAGAGTTCATGATCATGTCTTGCCGAATGGTGAGCGCTTCAGCCCCGTAGCTCGCCTACAGCCCGAGTTAAGTAGGGAAAACCAACATCACCTGCCAAAGTGACCCTCGAGACCTCCACCCGCCCCAGTGCTTTTTGCAAGAATGATATCCACCCGATCGACCTGAGATCAAGATGGCGGGCGGTAATAAGATCCTCCTTGTTTGAAGAAATTAACACTCTAATGTTGGAATTTCGAACACATAATTTTCAATCGACCCAAAGTCACCAAAATTTTCGTCGAGATTTATCGAGCCCAACTAACCCGCTGGCGCTGCGGAACTATTGTTAAGCTTGCCGCTTCGCTAGTGGAGAAGCTCCACGAGTCATTCCTCTAGCTCTGGTAAAACCAAGAGCTCTACGAGGCATTACTCTTAAGCTTCCGCCGCTTCGCTAACTGGGCGCCGGCGGTAAACCGTCAACCAGGTTTTTCTGCGTTTGCGCAGCGCTCTGGGTGCGAGCAGTCCTGCCCGCAGCGCAGCGTTCGTCGCAAAACGCGACCACGCCAACACCTGTCCAGTTGGGAACACCTGCCAGACCTGCATGAACAACTCTTTCTGATGTGATACTAAACTGCATGCAAAGTTCCCGTCAGGAGCTGGCTCAGGAAGATGCCGAGCCAGGATGGCGGAGGCATGCAGCTATGGGATTCCCGAGCCAGGGTGGCTCAGGCATCCAAGGAAAAGCAACGCGCAGATAAGCAAGCGCCAAGCGAGGCCACACATAGGAGACAGAAAAACAGCAAGAAGTGCCAAGCCAGGATGGCTGAGGCATCCGAGTATCCAGTGCCCGGCCAGGGCGGCGCAGGCATCAGGGAACCGAACGGGCAAAAAGACAGGGCACGAGAGATCTTAACAAACGACCGCGTCAATATGCAACACCAGACACTGGAAATAGCGCCGAGCCATCCTGAGGGCCGACGGCAGAGAAGGGGAACAAGCGGGAAGGGAAGAGCCAAAAAAACACGGATATTATGACTGGCAGATACGAGCGCACGTTATCCGAAAGATATGAATCGACCCCTATTCTTTCCAGGCCAATCTTTGTTGACAACCTCTCTCCATGGAGTCCGCCTGCCACCGCAGTCAACTCGCAGGCCCTCGAGTTGAGAAGCATTGTCCACTGTGAACCGCATGATCGTACACCCGACCATATCTTCAATTTCAATGCCAGTGCCTCCACTCGGGGCACTGCCATTAGTGACTTAGTGGGACTAAGTCCTCCCACGTGA